TTTGGCCTGCAGGCCCCCCAATTCACCAGCCATTACAGCGGCCCCATCATAACTTTGGGCAATAAGTTTGGCACCACACTGTAGATCATCGACTATCTGCCAAACTATAGTATATAAAGCTGCGGCCGTTCATGGCGTTGCTACGTCTAAAAATCCTAAAAAGCGCTCTTGGAATTTCCCATTTGGATTTATGTAGCGTACTACGATTGACAACTGACTAATATTCGTAATATCGGTTGTTTCATCTAACATAACTGCAACAAAAGGAGCTTTTTTATTTCTTGCTTGATCTTTTCTAAAACAATATTGCTTATCGACTGAATCAAATCATTTTGAATATGATTTGATGTACCGCGAAATATCGTGGAGTGTTCCAGATGGTTACTTAAAATTGTATCGTATTTTGCTAATAAATCAACTAAATTGATAAAATTGCCCCTATTAGCAACGCTTCGAGATTCAGTATGACCTCTAAAACTAAGTTCATTTTCGCCGAGAAAACAAACAATATCAATAAGTCCTTTTAACACTTTCTTTCAACTGCTGATCTAATGAATGCTCAATTCGTGATTTTCCAAATGTTTATTCTTTTAGCACCGCTCCCAAATGAGTTTCACACTTACCATGCCTTTTTGTCACTTTGTGAATGTTGTTTAAATCTGAAAAGCCATTTTTATTCCAAACACCTTTTTCATTTGTGAACAGTACACATGGCCAACAAAACAATTTACACAAATTTTCACAACCCCTTAACTACTGATTAGCACTGTACACTTCAATATTAAAGTACCTACAGCATGATTTAACTTTCGTTTTTAAGAATTTTAAATCAGGTGTTGGTTTCCCATTTCTAATAATATCCAGTTTATCTTGAAACGAATATGTTGAAAATCCCCTTTTCAACAAATTGCACACCACACAAACGCAAATAATATTTTCCACAGTGCTAGAACCAGCTTCCAAATTTAATAAGTAATTCTAAATCTGCGTACACGCGCACTAATATTCAACGTTTTAAAAATTACTTGTCGCCGCACCACAGGTTTAGAAACACCAAAAAAGTTTTTACAAATATAGCACAAAAGCTGAGAATAATACTAGGAAGATTAATATTAAGTATAATATTAAAATCGATATTAAAATCGAGATTAAAATCTATAAAATAAAACGTATTACGATGCTATACAGCTCAGATATCAAGATTATGAAGTGGGATGGGATGCATTTCAATAAGTTACCTACTTACCAGAGACAGTTGTCTGCTTACATATATCGAAGTTGCGCGAGTTCGTGTTGGCTCGATTAATCGAGTGCGTCATCGTTACGGTTTTAGCGTGCAACATTATCTCAGCTGCATAAAAGCAGAGCCGTTTCTATTGAAATTGGGTAAAAGTACATTTTAATGATTAATATATGTGATAAATAATAATTAGGTTCTATTTATGTGTTTTTTTAAATAATCCCAGGGGAAGCACTGCTTCCCTTGCTTCCATGGACCGACCGCCACTGATACAAAGGTTCTAACTACTGGTTAAAACTTCTGCACCCGAAAAGCCCTTATGTCTAATGAAGAATTGACAAATGATCTTAGCTACCAAACAAGAGAAGCGCCTAAAAGCAGGAACGTTATCCAAGCAACGGCGCACGCGCGCCATTCGTAGCTGTCTAATTTGTAATTCGCATATTCGATATCATTTTTAAAGGTGAATTCGGCACCGTGAAAATAAACAAACTATAATAAAGGGCAAGGAAAATAAACAAACTATAATAAAGGGCAAGGAAAATCTTACTAACGAACTAAAAAATACTTATTTAAAAAAAAATAATATTAAGCTTGTGATTCGAACCCTGGACCTACCGCGTGCTAGGCGAGTATCTTCTCTATCGTCTAACTAGTTCCTTGCTGACAAGCGATTCCAAAAGGATTTAATACACTTTGAAATGTCATGTAACTGCGCATGCCCTGCGGCTATCCTGAAACGGCCAATGGTGCGCCGTTGCTTGGATAACGTTCCTGCATTTAGGCGCTTCTCCAAATAAGACTTGCAGGGTTAATTCAACGCTTTTGTCCGCTGAATAGTTGTTTCCTGTAAATCTTATTCAATATATAGTTTAGCCCACCAGGGTTAGAGGTCGCAGCTCTTGGTACCTGCTTTGCAGGTCGCTATCAGTCACTAAGATATCAGTGATGTCGGACGGGTAGTAGCACTCACCACGTACACTTATTACTCACTATGTCTTGCTTAGTCTGCTTTAGGCTAGTCTGGTTTGCTATTATTATTTGTTTTTTCCATTACTTATGGCTTACTGACGAGAATATAACAAGTTCGAAACCGGTCTATGTTTAGTGAGGAATTGACATATATGATCTTAGCTACCAAATAAGACTTGCAGGTTTAATTCAACGCAGGTCGCTGAATAGTTATTTCCTGTAAATCTTATTCAGTAATAAATCATGTTCAAATTTCTAAAAAACCTTAAAATCACTGCGCTCTACAGAAAATTGACGATTGGTAATGCTTATTTAATAAAAAGATCACTTGTTTTGGGAAGTTCCTTTTTTTTGTAAAAGTGCATGCAGATAGAGATGCCAATAGGGAACTGAACAGAAGTCTTCGCTTTGGTGAGAACCATAGATTCCAACATGCTTCATTGCATTTCAATGCCCTCCAAACTCTTAGTTATGGTCTAACGACATCATAAGAAGTTGGCTGCATATCGCGGAAAAATCTTCTTTGAAAATACTAATGATAGTATATCCAACTTCCGCTGGACATTGCCGAGGAAGACAAACCAAATGGAAACTTTTAACATATTTAGGGGCTTTTACGGATATTTGTTTTGTAAAATTTGCAAATTTAAGAAGGCTCTTATTGTAGAAATTTTACTTAAATATTTTTTTATTATTTAAGCCCTTTTATTATTTACTTTCCTTTTAAAAATTTTTAAAACTATAGTTTTGTTTTCCTAAATATTTTTAAAAATTGTCAAACTAACTTTTTTATGAAGATATACTTATTAACTAAATTCTTTTTGTTCTTTATATAGAAAAAGGTCTTTTTAGTAGAGATGATTTTCGCTTATTCATTTTCTCGAAAGTTATACCAACTTTATTATTTAAATATGGAATACCATATATAGCTCTTAATTTTCGGAATGAACACATATAGCATTTATTAGGTCTGACATCAAAACTGTGCAAGATATTAGCAAAAAATGGAGTACGTCAGGGAATGCAAATTTATTTTTCTACGACCTCTATAGATAGTCATTATTTTCCTCCCTCAAATACGGGTAGAAAATGGTACTTTCTCTCACTAGGCAGGGAAAGTAGCTTTTCTCCCGAGTTAGGAAAGTATTTTCTACCTGCATTTTTGTACTACCATAATTACCCTTAAATCTCAATAACATAACAATCACCTTTTGAAACTGTATTTTAACATTCCACGGCTTACTTACTATTCAAATTACTATTAAAACTGTCATAATATCAATATGTATTTAAGAAATGTTATTTCCTCTTCACCCTTTTATATTAAAGGTCGTAGAAAAAAATCATATGTATAACATTGGAGGAAAGTGTCATTTCATTCCCTAGATGATTACTTCATCCCCGTGAATGTTACACTTTTCTGCCTTATTATACAAGGGGCTATTACTAAACATCAGTTAATATTATTAGTTGCCATGAGTAATATGAAACATTGAAACAAAAGTGTGTTACTTAAATACAAAATAAAAAACGCTGATAAAAGTAAATTGCAGAAAATAATACAAAGATATATTTTTAATATATCAAGAGTGTGGAGATAAGGCTAAAGTAGCACAGAGATTGTATAAAGAGAGATAACCAGACAGAGCAATTCCATCGGCAAAGGCGTTCAAAAGAATTGCAGTTATGTTCCAGCAAGAATGCAATTTTGAGCCAAAGAAGAGAGTTAAACGTAAGACAGTACTAACACAGGATAGTCAAATAAATATTCTCGCGTATTTGGAGTCACATCCTTCAAGTTCAAATTAGTACGAGAAATAGGAATTGCCAAATCAACAATATCCAGAATTATCAGGTTGCATAAAATACATCCCTTTAAACATAGAATGGTGCAAGAAATATTACCCAACGATTTCAATAGGACATTACATTCTGTAACTAGTTTTTGGGTATATACAATCAGAATCCATCTTTCCCTTTAAAGGTTTTGTGGACAGATGATGCCAAATTCTGTAAAAATTATGCTGTGTACATTAAGATGCACCATTACACATTAGAAAATACTATATTAACAACGATTAAAAGTAGACAGCAAACATAGTCTATAAATATGTGGTGTGGCATTATAGGTGGAGTGCTGTTGGGACCTTATTTTTATAGAGAATCATTAACCGGAGAACGTTATCTATATTTCTTAGAACACGTTTTAGAAGAAATGTTGGAGAACTTACTCGTAAATAGGTACAACGATTTGCACTTTCAGCAGGATAGTGCTCCTACACATAACCATAGAATGTTTAAAGAATACCTAATTAATTGCTTCGGTGATGGTCCGAATAATGGCATGCAAGGTTACCTGACGTCACATCTATGGACTTTCTTCTGTGGGAGTATGGGGATATCTAAAGTCCTAGGTACATATGACTCCTCCAGAGTATAGAAGACATGCACGGAAAACTTAGAGAGTTGTGTAGACCCATAAGTCCTGATATTTTACAAAGAACAGTAATGAGGGTTGTAACGGGGGCAACAATGTGCTTACAGATTAATGGCCAAAATTTTATGATATTCCCTATGTAAATAAAAAAGTTGGTATCACTTCCGGTATGAACTGGAACCGAAAAATCATCGTAAGCCATAAATTCGGATTCAGCAACTCTGCTTTACTAAAGCTGCCACGTTTTATATATTTTTGTTAGTAAATAAGGGAAATAAAGGGGAGATATTTTTGGTGGGACACGTTGTATACTTGCAAAAACTACTTAGTAAAATAATATTATACAGAGTGGCTTAGTAATCTAGTGGTAAGGACTCTTGCCTCTCACCCTGGAGTCCTGGGTTCAATCCTCGGTCGAGGAGCTAGGATTTTTTATAAACCAGAAATTAATCCTAACTTATTCGGACATTGGGTGTGTGTCCATTGTCTCTAAATGTGTAGCCATCTACTACACAAGGTACCTTGAAGTAACTTCAAGGATAGAGGAGGTTGTATTATCTGTGGTATTTAATGTTTACATGTCCTGAGTGGGTTGGAAAATTTGATGTGAAGATAACACTGACGTAGTTTTCCACGAAATACCAAAATATTATACTCCTCACTCGACGCGCGTTTTGCCAACGAAGTTAGCATCATCTGCAGAGGATTAAAACTAACCTTATGCTAACAATGTATCCTATTTATACCTAAACTATTGTCACAGTTCGGTGAACCGTGACCCACTAACCAATAAAGTGGGCTATTTGGGATAGTCCTTCTGTCACTATTCATACTATTTTTACACTTTGTGATTTCCAAGCTTTCAAATGCATCCTGCTGTCTAGTATTTGTTACATTTCGAATTATTCTTAAATTGCTAATATCTACTTTATGGTTGTTCTCAAACACATGTTGGGCAACACTATCTGTTCTACCATTTTTGAGATGGACTGTATGTTCTTTGAATATAATTTGAACTGATCATCTACTTTGTCCAACATACTTTTGATTACAGTCCTTACAGCTAATTTCGTAAATCCTCGACTTTTAATGTTTCAATTTTGTCTTTTGGATTGCCTAAAAGTTGTTGTAGTTTATTTCCCAATGAATGAACCACTGTCATACCCATATCTTTAAATCTTACCAATACCAGAGATGATTCGAGGGTCGAATGGAATCAATACAAATTTCGGATCTTTTCTTTCATTTTGAAAGGTCGGAAATTTCGAGGTTCACTTAAAATTTTCGTTTCCTAATTATTTTATCAATTAAACTTACGAAATAACCATTACTCGCAGCTATATCCTTAATCAATGCCTATTCTTCTCCCATAAATAAAAGTATTCAAAAATATTCAAGAAATACTTGTCAACAAGGAAATCTTCTTGATTTTCAATTTTAAGGAGCTCTTTTTCCAATTCGTCTTTGGCAATATATTCCAATAATGCATATACATAAAAAAAGTCAGATTATTTGTGGGTATTGATAGACCCACACGTTGTAAATATTCGAAATATTGTTCTTTACAAATATCACAAGTAAATATGTGGGGGTTTGAGCAAAAATATGGGATAAAAATAAGTAAAGACCATTAAACAAAATATTTCGGTTAACACTTTTCCTACCTTTGTCAGCTTGATGTTGTGGGTCTGCTCCTGAATTCTGGTAGGTGGCAGAGGACTGTAGGGGGTTCTGTGTGATGTAAGTCAAACACTTGCAAGCTTGAGATATTGAGCCACTTTTCACAAAATTTCCGTGAAAAATGATGAGCGAGATAAATAATATTTTTGAGAAAAAAACGAACACGTGTTGAGAGAGTGAATTCAACATTCGAAGTGTTTCTTCGTGTCACCTCGACATTCACGTAGAAGTGCCGAGAGGTAGGGATTTTTGAAACCGAGTATTGGCGCGACATGAATACAAAAAAAAAATTAAACCTATTTTATGACACTAAGATAATAATGAAAGAAAAATTATATTCAAAAACTTAAATACTAAAGTACTAATAAAAGGAGATCAGGGAATACAGAACAAAATCTTCTCGATATCACATTTGATGCAATATAAATTTTAACTGGATCATCTACATCACATTCGGCTTGATATTGTGTACCTACAGAAAACACAGACTAGAAAACTGATACAGTGTTGACATTTCTTCTCACTTCACGGGTTGTTTAAAGTCGGCTGTGCTTGTTAGTTCAAATTAACAGATTTATATAAAGTTAAGTTATATTTGCCCGCTTATGGGCAAATATTATTAATGTGAATGTGTTGGTGTATTCAAAGAATCCATATCGACATTAATAAACTAAAAAAAAGTGAATGTATATTGCAATAGGCAGTGAGAAAATGTGACATTTTTGCACTTTAAGCCACAATATCTTGAAAAGTATAGCCGAGTGAAAATTTTTGACTCGAAATTCGTGTTCAGCAAGCAAAAATAAGTACACAATTTCAAAAATCGGACGTTCTCTAATATACAACTTTATTATAGTTTTAGGGTCGATCTTTCCATCTCTTATTATTGTATCAATAATTGTATCCATGGAATATATTAATCAATAGATTTGAGATGGAAAGATCGACCTTTAATACTGCTGAGATTCAGAGCAATTACCATAAAAAAAAAAGTAAAAAGTTTTTTTACACACCATTTCTAGCATTTCTTATTAGGTGTTTTTCAATATTTGTGTCCCCCTCCCCATTAGGGATCTCCTGGATCCGTCCTTATCATATACTTATATTATACTGCTACTTCACTGTTTAAAAAACAAGGACACATTTATCTTACATAAACTCTATTAGTTGACGTATTTTTTAAGGATACTCATGATCATATACTGATAAAATGTGAGCAAGAATATCTGCTACGGTAAGTTATCCATTAATATTTGTATATTAACTATTATCGTAAAATTCTTTAAACTCTTTCTAAACTACATAATTAATTTACATTTGAAGTAAAAGAGAATACTAAACATAGACATTTTTTATTAAATATATACATTAATACAAAGGATTAGCACACAATAACACATTGCAAACGAAAAATAGCAATACATATCGCTATTACCATACCTTGGGCTCTCAAGTATGATAACAACATCTTTAAAATATTTAATATTTATAAACAATATCACAAATGACACACAAGTACTAGATTGGGAAGCACGGTTCATTTATCTGTATATGTATGTAACTACATAAAATATCATCACAATTTCGGATCAAGGGAAGGGAAAACTAGAGTATTATTAGATTTGTAAACAATTTAGGCCAGAATTTACTTTTAATACATCTTATTAAGAATTAGTATCGACATACATGTATTTTTCAAGATAGTCATCAATGAATGAAAATTTAATTTTTATGGCAAACATAAAAAAAATTAGTTAACGTTTTTAAAAGAAAGAATTTTAATTATAAGTTTTAATAATTTTTTAAATTTATTTATTAATTTAAAACAAATACCAAGATACTGAGTGTCAAAATAAAGTTTATATTTCTAAAATATTTTCTAAAATTGGAGAGCCAGGGAGGGTGTTGTCGGTTGACCTATAACTGTTTATAGGTCAACCATTAAAGTGGCTACCACTATTGTAAACGAAATGACCCAAAATGTAAATACTCACAAAACTAAAAAGCTACTCAAAAAATGTTCTGAACAGAAAATCATTTATAACATTTTTTAATGGACAGACAACCTTCCTAAAAATCTATTTGGTGCATATAGACGATCAAATATATTATTTAAAGAAAAAAGGCCAAGAAAGCTGATTTTTTTTACACGTTAATTTTGTCGTTCTAAACAACGTCTCAAACATCCCTGGTGATTCGTTTTACGCATAACTTTTACAGTTCGTAAAAGGGTTAAAAAAGTAGTTTTTTACAAATATCTCCATTCTTTTTAATTTTACGAATATGAACGTTATTACAAGATCGAGAGATTGGAAAATTATCTACTAAAAGGGTTCTTACTCATTTTAAAATAAGAGTTATAGTTTTCAAGAAAACTTGACGTAAAAGTTATCTCAAGCAACTACTTCGCTTTTACTATATTCTGTATTCTATGCTTGATAAATTTTTAAATTAGTTCCTATATTTAAAAGAAAACAAGGAGTTTTTGATGAAAAAGGTTTTATGTGATTCATTAACGAAATCAGTCATGACTGCTTTATTTAGTGGTGGCAATATGTCAGAAATATGAATATTCAAAGTATAGTCATGCGTTATAAATAATTGATATTAATCTTTCTTCCACTTTTTCTTTTTCTCCTTCTTCTTCTTCTCTGTTTCCTCTTTCTTCTACATTTTCTTCTTCTTCTCCTTCTCTTATATTTTAATCGATTTCATCATGAGCACTTAAACAAGATTGCCAGTGACAAATACCGTAAACAGAAGAGCATTAACAATTTTCAGGCTCAACTTTTGGCAGTTAAATAATTGTTCTCAACTGTTTACAATTGCAAAAAATCATATTTAGAGGTTAATTTTGAGCAGGAGGTCCTGATGTTTTTTTTTTTTGGATCCAAGAAATTGTTTTTTATTACTCATCGTCAAATTTAGGGGTCAGCTCATTGCCCAAACATTTCTGCACATGATAGTGTACTCGAAAATAGCGCTCTTCAGATGTTTTCGCTGTAGGTGGTAATGAATGTAACTTGAAGTTTATTTTTGCTCTCTAATTTACAGAAGCACAAGTAACGATAGTTATTCAAGGAATCTTAATTAATTGGAATACCATACCTGGCAAGAAAAATCGCATTACATTGAAAGAAATTGTTTCTCGAGAAGCATCCCTTCGATTGAAAATTTGACTGCATTAGATCGTTTGTCTGATAATTTGAGAACTGTTGTTTTATCTCTACGAAAAAGGGTAAATGTTGTAACACATCCGGAGAATGCATGTAGAAACAAGATATATGCTATCTGCCTGCATATTTGTCAAAATTTCGAGCAGAGCAAATTGTTTGTTCCACTGTTCCTTTGCTTGGTTTTAAAAGAAACATTTCTTAAATAAAAGGCAAAAACACGAAATGTCTATTTTCAACGCGATTTTCTAACACTGCAAAATATAAAACAAAGATTTAGTGCCATATACCTCCCCCAAAAAAAAAAAACAATTATGCAGCTACGGATACGTGTTTCGGAGTTACTGCCCTTCATCAGCGTAGCGTAGCTAAGGAATTAGATCTAGGATGGGATAGATCAGGAACAAGAACTAAAATAAGGCTGCATAATAGTTCTTTTTTTGGGGGATATGGCACTAAACCTTCTTTGTTTTAGTTTGAACCCCAATAAATCTATCTTGTTTTGTTTGTATGTGCCAGGTGGAAACGAGCAGTACACATAGAGCTGTGTGTGTCGACTGTGCTCATCGAG